ACCGCTAAATCCTTGGAGATATTCCAATCTTTAAGGTCTCTCTTAACCGACTCTTCCCAAGTGAGTTTAGGCCGACCTCTACCTCTCTTAACATCCTCGACCCGCTGTAGAACTCCCCTACGCACCGGTGCATCAGGAGGCCTCTGTTGGACATAACCACCTCAGCCGATGTTGAACCAATTTCTCTTCAATTGGAGCCACCCCGACTCTATCTCGAATATCCTCATTCTGGATTCTATCCCTTCTTGTGTGCCCGCAGAACCAACGCAACATACGCATCTCTGCTACACTTAGTTGTTGGACATGTTGCCTTTCTGTAGGCCAACATTCAGCACCGTATAGCATCGCAGGGCGAATCGCCGTCCTATAGAACTTACCGTTTAGCCTTTGTGGCACCCTCTTATCACAGAGAACGCCCGACGCCTGACGCCATTTCAACCAACCTGCTGCAATTCTATGCCTAACATCAACATCAATGCCACCATCCAATTTGTAGTATTTTTAATATTTATATGGTTGTAACTTTTTTCTTTTAAAAAATATACTAGTAATATATATAAAAAAAAGAATAGACTAATATATAACTTAACAATAATTACTAAATATAATTACTGGTGATCAATCAATTAAATATATACAAATATATATTATATTTCTAAGAAATGGAGTTAAATTCATTGCAGCCTTTTAATAAGTTAGAATTACTTATAAATATAAAAATAATTCGGTTACAACAAAAATAGATGGCTAATTAATTATGCAATAATATTTCAATAACCAATCACAATTATCTCATGCTCAAATAAAAAACAGAAATAATTTACCACCATCAATTAAACCTTAAAAAAACGTCACCACGAAACTCCATTTTCGCAATGCATGCATGCATGAGCCATGAGGCATGCATCGTGTTCCTGCAAAACCTGCCCTGAATTTTCCCTTAATTTTTTCCTTAAACAAAAAAAAAAACTAAAATAAAATAAAATAAAATAACAACAATAAACTCAAATATATCCACATGAGAGCATCTCCATAAAATCCATCTCCTTCTGCAAATCGAACTGCATATGCATCTGAGCCTCCACCAATCCGCAATTACTCATCATATTCAAATTCTCCTCATCTTCACCTTCAGCGCCATTAACAACAACATTAACCTTCTCATCAACACCATTATTTTCCTTCTTTAATTTCATTTTTAACGGAGATAATGAGGCTGATCCAGACGATGAATTGTCCGTATTGCCCTCGCCCCCTTTCTGTGAAGAGCTTATCAAGCTCTTGATGTAGTTCTGTAATGGGCTGCTGCTATTGGGCTTCGTACTATTATTGGACGCGTTGTTTTTGCGGGCCGAGAGCTGCCTTCTCTTTGTAGCGTTCCAATGGTTTTTGATGGTGTTCTCGCTCCTTCCAGGCAAGCTTCGGGCAATCTCGGCCCACCTGTTGCCCAGCTGGCGGTGGGCCTCGATCAGGATCTTGTCTTCTTCCTCTGACCATCGGTCTTTCTGCGAATTGGACTTAAAGATATTAATTATGTTTCCACTCGTTCTAAATTTTGATTGCAGTTTAAGAAAATAACAATAGGGAAAGGGAAA